ATCTCAAATGAGTTAAGGAACAACAGTAAAGGAAAGCAGAAATCTGCCTTTGAGCTGGTGTGCTAGACTTGCTATTGTCAATACTTTGCTAGAACAATACATTTCTGTCCCTAGAAAGTGCATATAAGCTTTCATATTGCATGAAGGCATTTATTTAAGGGGCGCTTTTTAGGAAATGCTGCTTTTGGATAGATTTTAAATCTAAGAGGGCATGAGTCAAGAGCAGGTATTCCATAACTTCCTTCTCGGTAGCCAGTGCATTTAGACTCCATTTCTTCTGCTTGTGACTAAGAGCCGCAGACGCACTGAGGAAAGAAGGTTCTCCTTGTTTAGCAAGAAAAAGCAGTCTGGAACAGGGTTTTCAGACTTTTATTACAGCTGCAGAATAAAGATGAGAAATCAGTGTTCCAAATAAGTGGTTTTACAGTCCCAGCACAGGAGACTCTAATGCATTATGTGCTAAAAGAGGAAGAAATGTCAGGAACAGCTAATAAGGTTAAACGTGCTTCTCTTTTGGCTTTTCAGCAGAGTCTTTACTTCCTGTGCTGCATTGCCCCGATCAGCTCTGTGTGCACAGAACAATGCCCAACGTCAGTGTAGGTTGCCCACCCCCAGTATTGTTTATACATTAGAATTTTTTTGTTCCAGTTTCATACAGACCACTGTAGGCTGCACGTCTGCCTTAGGATTATTTGTGCTGCTGTGATTCGCATGAGTGAAGAAAATCCAAGTGAATTTTGCATTTTTATCGAAAGTATGAAAAAAAAAATTCGTTATGTATTGTCCTCTGGGAAATAAGCTGCAGCATTTGAATAGTGCATAGAATTACATCCAAGATTGCGAGTGTGTGTGTGGGAGGATTGGCATAGCTATGCTTTAGAAAAATTACTTCATTTGAGAGTGTTTTATATTGCTTTTTTTAATATTTGAGCTACTGTGTTGCTATTTGCTTTTGATGGAGGATATTAGCTTTAGAAATGAAGATTTTTACCCGTTGAGCATAATATGCATTTAACTATCTAGTTTCCCAGTTTTTGTACTATTTTAACCCTCTTCTGTATTTACACTGGCCAATGCATTTTTGTTTTTAAGAAAAATTTATCTGCTGATATTGTCTATGACTTCATGGCAAAACAAGGGTATTTGCTCCTTTTATTTAATGCAGAAAGACAAGCAGTCCTTTGCTTTTCAGTCACAGAATTCTGAAGCTTCTTTAGATAGTGTAGGGAGAACTCTTACTGGTTTTGTGTCTACTTAAATAATCCATTAAATGCTGTCTCAGGTTTGGGAGGAAAAATATTTTGATGTTGAAAACTGTAGATTTACTAGGAATGAAATGAGCAGGGATGTGAGAAGAAGGATTAAGTGACTTAAACCCCCACACTTTTAAAACATTTAGAAATAATAATTTGAGAGTGTGTATGCCTTTGTTACCATTGTTACCATTTGTGGCTGACTTAGAGTTTGAAATATCTTATGGAATAGTCAGTTTTAGGGAGGTGTAAAAATTGGAACCTTTAAAGATGTCCCCTAAATGCAGGTGGTTTTTATTTTTTAATATTTCAGTGATTCCTGCCACCTTATTTTTTGTTAGATTTAAAATTTGAAGGATAGTAGCTTATATATGATTTTTTTTTTTTTGGCTTATGTGAATGTGTCTCTTTTCTCTTTAATCAGAATTAGAAGGACGGTCACAAAAAAATTGGTCACCCAGTTACAGACTAGTTGAGGTTATAAGTGACCTCTGGAGGCCATTAGTCCATTTGCAGGGCCACCTGGAGGCAGTTGCCCAAGACTCTATGCTGATTGTTTGCGTGGTGTTTGGTTGGTTTTGTAGAGGTTTTTTTGTTGTTTTTGTTTAGAGTATTATTTGTTTCGATCCTTTAAAGGAACACTGGAGGTGCTCCTCTGGATTTGGTGCATCTACCATCTGTCTCTGCTTAACTTCACTTGCCAACTTTTCCTTTTTGCTTCTTTGAGGGTGATGAAAGAAGCTTTTTCTTTTAGGGCTATCCTATGTAAAAGTTAATTTCTCTCCTTTTATTTGTGGAATATCTGTAATGTGATTATCTTTCTCAAGGTAAGGGCAAAGATCCCAGTGTGTGTTTGGAGGTTGCTGGTTCTTCCACGTTGTTCAGGTACACAGTAATGCATGTATTGTTTTGAAGAAATCCCTTCCGTGAGATTGCTGTCTGCATAAGCCTGTGTGATGTTAGATCTCATTGTTTTCAGATTAATCTATGTTGCTTCAGTCACCTGAAAAATATTGCTTCATTTCTGACTCTTTTTTCCACCCAATATATTGTTGTGTTATTCTGTTCACATTCTCACATTTGCAAAGTCCAACTGTCCCATCGCATTTTTAACACCAGTCGTGGAACTGAAGCTGAGCCAAGTCTTAGTGGATCTCCTAAAGAAATGTAACTTACACAGTTGTACTGTCTGAGAATCCTGGTAACCTTTGAAACTTGGCTGATTTCAGACAGAATTGAGAGTTGTTTCAAGTTGCTGTATGTTTTATGAAAATGAATGGCCATTTAAAGGAAAATGATCATTAAATCTCTCAAACAGGAAAGACTGAGGTATGAACTCAGTTATTATTAAACATCAGAGAACTGGGGATGGGGAGGGGAGGAGTTACAAGTGCTCCAGTGAAAGAAGAAAAAAAAAGCTAATATTAGTGTTAACTTTTTTATTTGCTATCAGAAATCCAATTAGAAAGCAAAATCTTGTAAAGTCAGGCTTTATGCTTCCTGTTCAGTTGGTTGCTTCTTTTTGAGGTGGTAAGTTACTAAAGTAGTTCTGTCCTCATATGCCTTTGTGTAAGAATTGACAACAACTAAGAAGAATATTTGATGGTAATTTTTCTCTCTGGTATTTAATGTTGAGGAATAAGAGACTCACAATATGTAGCTCCAGAGCAGTTTGCATGTTCTCTCTGTCTTCAGTGACATTGAGGGGAATGAGCTGTCATGGATACTGGTGAGAAAGCAATTGGATTGTCATCTTTGTTCTTTTGCTCCTGCTCTTACTTTCAGGAATTTGAATTTTGTCATAAGGCCATAGTTGTAATGAACACTCCCAGCATTGACTTTATTGTGCACAGACCCCATCATCAGGCTTCAACAGTGTGGGAGCGGTGCTCATTCCGTGAGGTGTGGCTACAAACACCCACTCACCATTTCAGTTTTGCATAGACAAAGAGTATCTCCAAAGAGTTCTGTTTTCCAGGATGTGTGCTGATGAATGAAGGAGATGATTATCCATTAATGGAGTCTAATAAAATGCATTCCAGTTAAATGGCAGCAGGCAGAATGTGGTGCTTGAGGAAGTGGGAGTAAGTGGTAACTGCTCTCTGAAGTTGTGAAACAAGGGCCACCCTAGAGTTACTTCTGGGTCCACATACTTGTGTGAAGTTTTATGACCTTGAAAATCTGCAGGTTTTTTAATGTGTTGATATTATTCAGCCGTTCGTGTGGGTTACCAGTAGCAAAACATGATTAGCTTTAATTGCAATAGGAAATTCAGAGTGAAACGCACAAATATCTGAGAGAATGTTGCAGTGTAATTAAAGGTGGGATAAAGTGGAACAAGAGTAGTTGAACCAATTCTACTAGCAAATTAATGCCAGACAGGGAAGTTGTTGCTCTTTTTCTTTGTTCCTGCCCAAGTATGTGTCCTGCTCTCTGCATCAGGTTGGTTCTTGGGTCAAAGCCCCACAGTGTCAGAAATCAGATCACTGGGAAGCAGAAAATTCTCTGATCTTGAGGTTTCGTGCATGCTGGGGGGAGCAGGAAGGGGTGGTTGTGTTTGTGTCCCATGTCTTTTTCAGGTCTGTCCCTCTCTGCTCTTGGTTTATTTTCTGTCAGGTTTGAGTTGAATTTGCTTTCTAGAGAAGTCAAATGAGCCCCAGAAGTGGCTCAAAGTAGGCAGCAGGAGCTCAGACCCCAGAATGAGGACAGAGTAGGGGAATGGAATGTGCTGTTGTCCTTTGACTTTGATAAATCATTAGATTGGTTCAAGCTGCCTTGTGCAACTTCACCCTGCCTAAACCCAAGGAAGTTGGGCAAGATTTTGAGAAATTTGTGGATTTTGAATAGTTTTGGTTGTTTGTTTGGGTTTTTTTTGTTGAATATTTATCTTCCTTAACTTTAACAGGGTGGGATCCTGGTACTCTTTGTTTTCTTTTTGGTTTATTTACAGTTTGATTATAGCTTGCACGTAAGTTACTGTATCTGCAAATGTTCAAATACTTAATGAGCAATTCAGCTTCACTAAACCCAGTATACAGAATATTATTTATTGTGACCTGTTCTTGTCAGTGATTCTTATTGTGTTAGTATTTTGCACTTTATAATTCTCATGACCTAATATTAATCACTGTAGTAAGAAATGGGGGGGAACGTGATGGGAGTTTGTTGTTACAGAAGAAGTGAAATACACAATCTTAAATGGTATCTCTGAAAACGTTTGGTTATGTCAAGTGAATTGACATATAGTTTTAAACCTAATAAATTTTTATTTTTTTTTAATTATACCATGTACAGATCTACTGGAGCTTGTTAAGGAAGTTTAGCTTCCTTTCTGAAACCTTTTGATATTCAAGAGTGGGTGTTTTATTGCTCCCCTGAGATAAATTCTTTAGAAAGATTGAGGGGGGGAGAGGAAAAAAAAACATGACAACCTTTTCAGTTCATTATCTGACCATGAATTAACTTGAAGTGAGAAATTGTTTTGGCAGTATTGCATAGTTATTTTTGTTGATTACCCTGTCTGTAAAATGAGAATATTTTGCAGGGGGGAAATATTTAAAGTTGATGTTTTGTTTCCTAAGTTGATTTTTCAGCTGGACAGAAAACAAAAAGGATGGTGAAGACTTTTAAGTCTTAATAAAAGCAATCTCAGTTAGGATTTATCTGGTCAGGAAGGGCTTGTAATATGTTATTAGAAATTACAATTTATTTTCATTTTTATTTATTTTTTTTTTCTTCCCCCCCCAGGTGATTCATGGCAGGGGACGTGGAAGGGTTTAGCTCCTCCATCCATGACACCAGTGTCTCTGCAGGATTCAGAGCACTGTATGAGGAGGGATTGCTTCTTGATGTCACACTTGTCATTGAAGACCACCAATTTCAGGCCCATAAAGCTCTGCTTGCCACCCAGAGTGATTACTTCAGGATTATGTTCACAGCTGACATGCGAGAACGAGATCAGGACAAAATCCATTTGAAAGGTCTGACAGCTACAGGCTTCAGTCATGTTCTCCAATTCATGTACTATGGAACTATTGAACTGAGTATGAACACTGTTCATGAAATCCTTCAGGCTGCCATGTATGTCCAGCTTATAGAGGTGGTAAAGTTTTGCTGCTCTTTTCTCTTAGCTAAAATCTGCTTAGAAAACTGTGCAGAAATTATGAGACTTCTGGATGATTTTGGTGTAAACATCGAAGGAGTCAGGGAAAAACTGGATTCCTTTCTGCTAGAGAATTTTGTGCCACTCATGTCCAGACCTGACTTCCTTTCATATCTGAGCTTTGAGAAGCTCATGTCTTACTTGGATAATGATCATCTGAGCAGGTTTCCAGAGATAGAGCTGTATGAAGCTGTTCAGGCCTGGCTGCGCCATGATAGAAGACGCTGGAGGCATACGGACACCATCATTCAGAACATCAGGTTTTGTTTGATGACACCATCCAGTGTTTTTGAGAAGGTTGGTGCATTTGAAAAGCAATAGGCAGGATTCATCATTTAGCTAGGGCAGCATGCCATTAAATAGGTAAGATTCCCCAACCTATTAGGAGGGACAAAATTATAGCATTTATTTTCTAATAAACCCATAGAAGGCAAACAACTACAAGTATTGTCTTTTGGTTATTAGACAAGAGCACGTACAGTGACTGGAGAACAGGTGGGTTTGCAATACATGTTTATAAGGGGCTTTATATGAAAAAGACATTTTAAAATAAGGTCACTTGTATCTGGTTTGTTTTCAAATGTTCTTACTGTTGTCCGCAAGTTGCTTCTTGCTTTAGAGCTGCACACAGTATGTAGGGTATATGTCATGATAATTGTTATCAATATAATCAAAAAATAGTGACAGTAGATCTTACATGGTTTAAGTACAGGAGGTTTCTTTATTTGCAAATGACAACTAGCATCTGCTCTTAAATCTGCAGCCTTTTTGTTGTTGTATCTTCGGTGGCTGTGCTGTTACACAGCAGTTGGAAGTAAGCCCTGATCCTGCAGAGTTACACACACACTTGTTTCTATACAAGGCACTTAATCAATCAAAAATTATTTACAGTATGAAATGTAATGATTTACTTTAAATATCAGAGGAATTTTTGTAATAGTTGATCTAAAGTTCAACTGATCACTGTATGTAGTAAGAGGTTAAAACCAAACTTGCTTTTTCTACTCTTCTGTTGAAGAACAGACAGAAAAGTTGTTTTCTAGTTCTTTAGACTCTGAACATTTGTCAACAGTAGAGGATTACTTTGTAAGCAGCTCTGTCACAGACCAGTAACAGTGTTCAGTTTAGCAATTACAGTTAATTTTGTGTGATGAGATAAAACTTCTACTAATTCACTGAGAAGTGAAAGGTACAGGAGTTAAGACCTTGTGGGTTTTTTGTGCTTCTTATAAATTAATTTCCCATATATTTTTACTTTGGTATCTAGTGAACATACAGATAAGGTTGTGTTGGTTTTGGTGGTTTTAAGGGCTACTGGGCCATTCGAGCAGTAATTCTTATATGTATTCCTATTTGAAATTGTCAAAGCTATTAACTACTTCAGACCAGTGGGTTTCTATATTTTGGATTTTTTTCTGTGTGTGTGAATTGAATAGAGGATGTAATAATACATAAAATATATTTATGATATTATATTAGACTATAGACATGAACAAAATAAACGCCTAGGCATATTTTAGAACAGTGCTGCAATGTTTATATAGGGTTAAAACATTTCCAACTAGTAAGAGCTGAACTCTGCAGGATACTGTGTAGTGTCTTGTTTTTAATAACACTTTTACCTTATTACTACATCATTTAATCCCTTCTAAGTAAAACTGATAGAATTCACAAAATATGCTTTTAAGTTTAATCTAATAGGGCAAGACTTGTTTGAGTCTGCTTCAGCTCTATGAGATTTGCGGATACAAGCTCAAGCATTGAGCTGTCCTCAGTTAAATTCCTCTAAGTGCAAGTCTATGTTAGTCTTCAGTGTTACATGTAGGTATAACTTCTGGAGCTGGTTTTGGCATCAGTGGTGTAAATCCTTCATACAGTGCTTCTCATATTTTTGTCTTGACAGCTTCCAAATGGCCCAATAGGTACAACTTCAGGAGAGAAGTCGCTGTAAAAGCTTCATCTGTGAATACCCTTTCTGTTAATTTGTATGTGGGAGCTCACTCTTGAAAAGGCAACGCAGAAAGAATCGTGTCTTGCAGAATATACCACCTAAGGAGTCTTTCTGCTGTGCCTTTTGCAACTGGACATGCCTGTCCCATATTGGCCTTTTTAGCCGCCAGCACGCTTGTAACAAACGTGGGTAGAGCCTTTCCCAGATCTTTGTTTGCAAAGCCCAGCCATGATGATGTGGGAGCAGAGAGAAGCCAGTGTAGGTTATGGAGTGGGACAACTCAGCACAGGGAAGCACAGCTAATTATGTCATTTGTTGCTGCAGCTAGGAATGCATTTGTGTTTTACCCTGGCTAGAGAGCATTGAGTTATCCAGCATGACAAGTGACAAAGGACAACTGCAGTTGGAGCCAACATCAGAATATAGAACACTTTTTTTTTTAAATAAGAGAGCATGGCTATTCACTGTTCTGGCAGTAACCCAGGGAGAACCTCTTTCTTCTCTGTGTAGAAGGGGGAAGATATTGGTAAAACTGCGTTTTTTGGAGATCTACAGACAGAATTGAGCCTTGTCCTGAAGCCAGCACATACTAAACGTCTGCATGAATGTACCAAATACAGTCTGAGGTTGACTCTTCCAGTTCAGCAAACTCTGTATTTGCTATACACTGGCTGGCTTGTCGTATGTACTCTTACATAATCTTTGTGATACACATTTCTCAGATGCCTGTCCTTGTAATATATAAATAGCTTATATGACTTAACTTTGCAAGTCATGGTAAAGATACTTTTGACCTCTTAAGCCATTATGTTTCGTACATCATTTTTTTGGGGAAGATGTACAGTGTGGGTGGGATGGCTTGTCCTTTCAGAAATGAAATGAGTGACTCCAGGTTAATACCTTGAGGCTGATGTGCATTTAGAGTGCACAAGGGAAGGTACAGCCCCTGTGCTTACTGCAAACTGGAAGAACGGATACTGAGGTATGAACAGGTACTGCTTTTGTTGCTCAGCCCTTAAAATACATGCTGATGTACGAGGGAAAATGGGAAGATAAATGAATTAAGGATTTGGGGAATAGTTAGAAACGAAAAGCAAAGTGTATGAGGAGAAGTACAAGTTTTGCTCTTGACGTTGTGTTTACCTTTTTTTGAGACCCATCCATGGCTCTTTAAGTCTTTAGGGAGTTTGGAGATAGAAGTTAGAGGGCATTTCACCTGCCTCACTGAGTTAATCTCTGTGTTACTGGAGGTGACTGTGTCATGATTTCCCTTCATGTACTGTTTAAGCTCCATTTAGTTGCTGTGTACTACTCAGATTGAAATGTTGTTTCAAAACTTTAAAATCCAAAGGGCTTTTTTAATGTCCAGTGTGCAGGGTTTGTTATGACTAGCCCATGCTGATTTATAAATTGCCAGTATGAATCAGAAACTTACTAATCGCTATGTTTTGCTGTAGAGGTAGGATGAATAGCACATTATTTTTGAGTATCTCTGCCCTGTGCCTAGAAAAGAGTAACTTTTGAGAAGATATCATTGTAATTTTATGTTATTGTGACTTTACCTTTCATAAAAGAATTTAATTTCTTTTTTTTTTTTTTGCATTTACCTCCATGTCTAGTAATCCATATGTATCCACTTCTGCAACTTGGTTTGCTGAAGCAACTTTGTTTGCTGAAGCTTAGAATAAGAAGTGTTTAGTGGATGAGGTTAGTGGGCCCCTCTTATCTTAAATAGGTGCTGCACTTGGTATTTTTGTCTCTCAGGGTTATTGCTCAGTTGGATAGGTTTGCTAGCAGTATTTATTTTGTACTGAACTTCTTAATTGTGGAATATAGATTGATTCCATTCTGATTTGAAAAATTAGATTTGAGTTAGACTTCAGCTTGACTTTGATAATTTCATTGGCCAGTTTCTAAAAAGGAGCAGCCAAATAATCATTTTGAGAGCATTGTCCTTGCTGCACAGAGCCTGTGTCATCTTGTCTTTTTATGGTTAGGCTGAAACACAGTAAGTGATTTGTAGCACATGCAGAATAGCCCTTCAGAGTCCTATACTGGTACCAGTCGGTTCTCATACTGGCTTACAGTTGTGCTTAAAATATAGCCAGAGATAAGTAGATGTGAAAATAATAAGGATCTGAGTTAGCAGAGTGGATGGATCTTTAGTTTGGATTCAGCTTAATCTTTAGTAAAATAACTTTTTTTTTTGCAAATAAAAGGAAGAGTTTGCTCTCTAGAAGTCTGATACAGAGACCATCATTATTCACTGAAAAGCTGTGGTGTAGCTGTTGTACTCCTGGTAGTTGAGTTTGAGTTGCATCACTTACACGTTCAGAATTGACAGTTTTAGAAAACTTAAGCACAATAAGTTATAAGCTCTGAAGTAGTTCTCTGCTTACGTGGCTAGAGATGATAGAGTCACATTATGAGCCACCTAGATTTTTGCTATTGACTGCTTGGGGGGGTGAGTAGAGGGGTGGATGTTTTTAATTATGTTTTAAATTATTTTTGCATCTTTTTTTTAATGGAGTGATACATTGGATTTTGTTTATGCTGTTCCCTGTCTGTGTAGCTGAAAGTCTGACTGTGAACCACAGTAACTGGTAGATATGCAATGAGATAGTTCTCATTCTCCATCTCTGGAGATCTTGAGGGAGCTCTTACCAGTAGGGCTGTGTCCTGGCAGAACCTCTGTAAGATTTTCTTCAGAAAATTGAAGAGAAAGAATTGGAAAGAATGTAAAAAAAAGGAAAAAATCACATGGGCAAAACTGGAACACTTGGATTAAATTCCTTTTTTTACAGTAAGACTGGGGTTGGTAAGGAAGTCCAGCTTAAACTACCTTTAAGACCCTTCAGCAAGATAACAACAGTTTTTCTTTAAACTTTGAAAATGCTATGAAGCATTTAGTATTTTTATGAATTCGGAGTTGATGATGGACTCTAAGAATGCACATTTGTTTTACTTTGGGGTTCATAATGGTTAGTGCACATTTCCATCTGTTTTGCAGACACTTGCGAGTGTTCTGCTTGAGTATGTTGGTAATTAGGGGCACAGTCCTTCTAGAGCTTCTCCATTTGAACTTATCAGGAGAATTGGTCTGCTTAGATATTTGTTGATCAGCTAAAAGCAGTGATATTTTTCCTCAACAGCCAAGTTTAGGAATGCTCCAGCTACCTTCTCTTACCAGAATTTAGGTGGCCGGTCACTCTTGTTTTGTGGGATTTTTTTTCTGCCTATTGTACAACTTGCTAGTGCTTGTGCATTTTCGTGTTCAGCTCTCCAAACCTGTGTTTGTAGAAGCTTCCCCACAAACTTTAGTCAGAGAGGGGTTATAATAACTGGGAGTTGCATTTACTTCTTTATATCTTTTTGGTTTAAAGTAAGAGGTTGAGGCTTTGCTTTGGTGTTAGTGCCTTTGTCAAGATGAGCAGTAGTAAACTTCTGCTACTGATTCCCTGGTCTTGAGATTCTGTCTCTGGAATTAGAGATACTCCTTGTTTCCTTTTGCATGCTCTCATGGGGTGAGATTTGTGCTAAGTGAAGGAGTAGAGTGGTGAGGATATATGAGGCTTATTTTAATTCCAGTCTCTGGCTGGCATTTCGATTTCTAGATCTAACGACAGAGTTGTAAATGTTGAGGGGGAAAGAAAAGCATTTTCCATTTCTGCCAGGCTTTGCTGGAATTCTTCATGTTGTAAGCATGTTGATCCTGATGTCTTCCACAATCATCCAAGAAAACTTGAACTGCATAGAGGTGGAACAAAGATAATTTATATTTTTATTTAATTCCAAAGATGATGGCTCCAGTTTGGGAATGCTTGAAGTAGTCCTACTGTTCTAGAATTTGAACGTTCCTTTTAAGGATAAAGTTACCCACCCACTATTCTTTGTTATTTTAACTTCCTTTTTCATTTTTTGTAACCTTTAAGGCTTTCTATATGTTATCATTTTTCTGTGCTGTGGTTCTCCCTGCCAGCATATTTTCTGTAATTTATGTTCACTCTTTTTAGTCAGGCAGGGTATGTGGTTTATTCTAACAAATGCAGCACAAGCAGATCTGTCTTTGTATGACATATTCTTTATTTGCAATAAGAAAATAGATCTTATTCCCACAAGAGTTGGACTTACTGTGGGTATTTCATAAGCACTATGCCTGAGTAAACCTTTTTGCTCTGGTAAAAACAATAGAAAGAAGCTGGATGTTGCTGCAAGAATAATATATACATCTGCATGTGACTGTCCTCTTTTTCCAGACAGAGATAAGTTGAACTTGTCAAAATTAAGTGGGGGAAAGAAAAAGTGTAAATAAAACCACCAAATCACTGTAACTCTTGAGCTATACATTGCTTTACAGTAGTAGGTTAGTATTCAGGGTTTTTTTGAAATCTGGTGTGTAAAACTATCTCAATATCTGTGCGAAGTATGCCAAATAATAACAGTTCCAAAGATTTTTTGAAAAGATGCTTATCTGAATGTGTTAATTGTTATACAAGGAAGAGAAATTATTAATAGAAAGCTAACAAAACTTCAATAGTACATATTTATGGAACAAGCAACTACTCTATTCACAAGGTATAAAGGACATTAATTTCCAAATTGCTTTCCATATACATCGAAATTCATACCACCCCTGAGGTAAGGGGTGGTACAGACTTTTGTTCCTTGGGACAGGGAATAGGAGATGAGGTAACAGATACTCAAAAATGTTAGCTTCTGGTGTTACCTTGTGGTCACTTGAAATTTCAGAGTGACCTCACATTTCTTCAGAGCATTGCTTCTCATTTTGGAGCTGGTGGGAGCTAAAGGCATTTAGACTGTTTGCAAGCAATCCAGTTTTATGTGAAAGAAACTGGAACCTTGGATCAAATCTGATCGAGGATTTGTGGATTTGGCAATATCCAGCAGGTTTTTACTTGTTTTAGAAGTGTGATTCAGAAAGCTGTGTTAGACCAGATTGTACAGGAAGAGGGAAGCCTCTGAAGAGAATCCCACGGTGAGCTGAGGAATGCTTGGAGCTAGATGAGTTAAAACGTTCAGGACAGGGATGTGTTTTGGAATGGTCTCAGGACCAACCTGAGGAACTTAAGTTGTCTTAGATAGTAGGAAGGGTCCTGAAAAGGTAAATTCTTGTCATCTTCTCCCTCACCCACAACTCCAATAAAACTGAGCTGGGATAGCTCTTCTAACTGAGGTGTCACTTCACTGTGTGCTAATTCAGAGGTTGTAACTCTCACCTGGGAAGTGGAAGTTCAAACCTACCTCCACCATTTGTCAAAGAAATCACAACCAAAGGATTATAGATGGAGATGTTTCCCTCTTGCGTTAAAGGCATTTGTTAACATGTGGAGACTCAGAGAGGGGAAACCATAAGGGGTAGCCATCATGATGAGTGGTTGGTGCAAGCACATGTTCTGAAGGAAGGAGGTTGGGTACCTTCCCTTCTCTTCCCCTTCCCTTCCCCACCCCAATTAAATAGCTCTGTGAGCAGAGCTTAGCATTTGGCAATAACTGCTTAGGCTTGACTGTGAGATTTCAGAAAAAATAGACCAGAGTAAACCTTGGTAAACACAGAATGGGTGTGTAGAGTATCTTTCAAACTCAGGAAAATAGTGTATTTTTAACTAAGGTGCTTCATGGATAAAGCAGAAGAGTAACAGAGGCTTTTGGGGGGGGAAAGAATAATGATTTTTAGACCTGGGGATTTCAGTTGTGCCTAATTCCAGCATGAATTTTACATGTGATTATTCTGCTGAAATTGTTAGTCACTGCTGTTAGTCACTAAATTGCCTTCTGGATTTTTTGTAACAATACACTAGTTCAAGCCTTCTTGCACAAATGCTATTGCTCTCAAGAGTGCCTGAATGAAACAAAGTAAAATAATCTAATGATACATAGTCATTTAGATTTTCTGGATTGTTTCTCTTGGTCAGAATTTTAATATCTTTTAAATGTATTCATAGGTAAAAACATCAGAATTTTATCGATACTCCCGGCAGCTGCGACATGAGGTTGACCAAGCCATGAATTACTTTCATAGCGTTCACCAACAGCCTTTGATGGAAATGAAATCGAACAAAATTCGTTCTGCCAAACCCCAGACTGCAGTATTTAGAGGAATGATAGGACACAGTATGGTAAACAGTAAAATTCTTCTCTTGCACAAACCAAGGGTCTGGTGGGAACTAGAGGGTCCTCAAGTACCTTTACGACCAGACTGCCTTGCCATTGTAAATAACTTTGTGTTCTTACTAGGTGGGGAAGAACTGGGGCCAGATGGTGAGTTTCATGCTTCATCCAAAGTGTTTAGATATGACCCAAGACAGAACACTTGGTTACGAATGGCAGACATGTCTGTGCCACGCTCTGAGTTTGCTGTTGGAGTTATTGGGAGGTATGTTTATGCAGTGGCTGGGAGAACCAGGGATGAAACGTTTTACTCCACTGAACGGTACGATATTACTGAAGATAAGTGGGAATTTGTGGATCCCTATCCAGTCAATAAGTACGGACATGAAGGGACTGTGCTTGGTAACAAGTTGTATATCACTGGTGGAATTACATCATCTTCAACTTCTAAGCAAGTGTGTGTGTTTGATCCCAGTAAAGAAGGGACAGTAGAGCAGCGAACAAGGAGAACTCAAGTGGTCACTAACTGTTGGGAGAACAAATGCAAAATGAACTATGCAAGATGCTTTCACAAAATGATTTCTTATAATGGTAAGCTTTATGTCTTTGGTGGTGTCTGTGTGATCCTGAGGGCCTCCTTTGAATCTCAAGGATGTCCTTCTACAGAGGTGTATGACCCCGATACGGATCAATGGACTATATTGGCTTCTATGCCAATTGGTAGGAGCGGTCATGGTGTAGCTGTTTTGGACAAACAGATAATGGTTCTTGGAGGCCTTTGTTACAACGGTCATTACAGTGATTCAATTCTCACCTTTGATCCAGAGGAAAACAAATGGAAAGAGGATGAATATCCAAGGATGCCATGCAAGCTGGATGGCTTACAAGTCTGCAGCCTGCACTTCCCTGAGTATGTTTTGGAGCATGTTAGACGTTGCAGCTAAAACTGAGTGAACAACCCAGTGAAAGACAAAAAGCTATACCTAATTTGTTAAAAAAATACAAACCAATTAAATTCCTTCAGAGACATTTTCCTTGTGTGTAAGAACAAATGCTAAATGCTCAAGAGAAACAGGATGTACAGGGAGTGTACTTACCAAGTTTATTAGAAAAGCCAATAGTTAGTCTGACCTTGTAAAAGCTTTGTTGTTTTGGGTTTTTTTTAACATAACTGTAAGTACAAAAAAAATAAATTTTTGAGTGTGCTTGGGTTTTTTGTAATATTTTATGTCCGTAATATTTTCTCTTTTTTTTTTTAATGGCCATTATGCCATTATGCTTTTGAATTAAGTTGAGTTTGACAGAATATTTGTGAAAGGCAGAGAAGAAAGACTTGATTAGCAGTTTTTTGAGCATCAAAATAAACCTCATCATCTGTACTAGGGTACAGCCAGATCTAAGATAACAAAACCAAACCCTTTCTGTGTTTTATGTTGTTTTTTAGATGCTTTTCCCATTAACTGCAAAGAATTCTTAAATCTACTAGGTGTTTTGATTTTCCCTTATTTACTTTGGAGAAGAATTTTAACCCCTTTGCATGACCTTTTTCCTGGTTTTGTATAGTGGTACCAGTAAGTCTGCCAAACTGCAAATTACACATTTTCTACTGAATTGAAAACAAAGCATTTTTATATTCAAAACACTGTTTCTATGCTGCCTTCTATTGTCTGCGTTGTGTTTGTTGGTGAGTAAAAAAAGTATATATACATGTGCATACACTGTAAAAACTGTATATAAATGCATCTTTTTATTTGCAGTTACAATATTATATTTTAACTAGTGCACAGATTCAGCCATATCTGTTGAATTTAAGGTATTCTTTAATAAGCTAAATAATTCAAAGTTCTTAAGTAACCAGAGGCCTCATTTGGTATCAAAGTATCTTATCTTTAGTATATACTGATTGATTCAGTAACTTTAAACTCTTTATATTGTTCCTACATAATGAACTGTTGATTATTTGTTATTTTATAAATTATTTTTTAAAAAGTAAATTCATCTTACCTGAATTTCTTTTCAGTTTCAATGTGCTGCCCAGTTTTCTTTTTTCATGAAAATGGAAAATATCAATAAGCAAATGCTCAGCACTGCTGTGACCCACAGTTATTTTTGGAACTGGATACTGGATATACTACAGTTTATTCTCAGTACTTTGCTTGTACTCACATTTCAGTATGAGTACTCGTATTGAAGTGGTGTAATCTTTTCATTATTATTATTTTAATTATTAACTGTTAAGAACTACTGTGTTTTGAAAATGTGGGGTTAGGTGATTGGATGGTTGATGTAATTTCTGTTTCTTTTGTAAAAAAACCTACACAACTATGGCTACTGACCTCAGAGTGCCTGAAACGAGATGTGTGGTCCTAGAGGGCTTTGAATAACTCCATTGAGTTTAACTTACAGATATAACTGACAGTAGATTGGTAAGAATTATCTACCAAGACATAAATAATAACAGTAATTGCATTTTGATTATCTTTATGGATGTGAAATAAGCCACTTCTAGAACCTAAAGGAGAAGTTGAAGGCTCACAGTTCAGATGCTGAAACAGGCAGCTGCATATTCTGTAAAATCTTATGCTGCTGTGTTTCACTTCAAGCAATAGACTTTACTTTATATGCAGCAATGCAAAACCACTTTATTCAGCATCTTCCAGTCAGAAATCACTGTAGAAAAGGAATGTACAGTACTCAGGGAGTTCAAAAGAATGCACTTACAAAGGGACCAAAATCACCCTAAATTTTCTATGTTAAAAATAACACCTATTGTCTAAATGAAGTTTGAAATAATAGGAGTTAAAACAACTTGTAAAAACTCCTCATATTGTGTTTTGATATTTTTGTAGTAATTATGTTCTGGGTTGAAATGTGAGTATTTGGAGCTATATGGCAAGTCAGCATATTTTTAATTTTTTTTTTTAATTATTAGAAATGATTTATTGATCAAGTATTTTCTTTTCATATGTTTTAAAATAAAGAGGTAATGCATGCCATCATAGCTATAGTGATAAGCTATTACATCAGAAGTGACTGGACCAAATACTGATATTCAGCCTTCTGATGCAGGCTAGTTTGCAGTTAAATTTGTCTTTTTTAATAAGAATTCAGTTGACTGAATTAGAAACCTAATTTACTTTCTTGATAGCTTAAGTTAAAGCTGGTGTGGCTTACACTAAAACCTCAGTTTCACTACATCGCCCTGTGTGGGTACAGAGAGAGACTGACTCCAGTAGGTGCTGGCTCTGTGCTGACTGTACATAGTTCATGGAATATTGAGGCACAAGAGAAAAAACAAGGAGTTTTAAATTTTTTTTTTCATTATTCTGTTTGTCACCAGCTCATTTCTCAGTAAGTTAATGGGGCAGCAAAAACTAATCCTGCCTGAGAAGGCTTTCGTGGGCACGTTCTGTATAGTACAGAGTACTTCACTTTTATCTGGGGCCAGTGTGGGGAATGAACATGATTCTGGATATCTGGTGTTCAGGATTCAAATGTCTTAAAGAGACACAGCCAAGACATTATTAAAACTAATAGTAAAGATGGGGGTGTCTTAAGTTACGTTCTGGATTTGAGCACCTTCCGAGGTTCTGTGTACAGGGCACCAGCCTCTAAAGTCACTGCTGAGTACACTTGAAGAACCAGATTGTTTTTGGTGCTCTGCTTTTAAGTTTGTATCTATCTTCAGGTACCCAGTTCTGAAAGTTCTTGTTCAGGGTTGTAATAGTAATTGTTCTGTGAATTTTTAATTGAACTGTTGGTTTCGGCTTCCTTGAAAGCTGTGTCTCCATTGAGAAGCTGGCTGCTACCTTTCCAGCATTAGGAATGATTGGAATTTGCTTGGGTTTAGAATGTGTGGGGGTATGTGAGAGTGTTTTGTCAATTTACATTTCTACCATACTTTTACTGTTTCAGACATTAAATATAAAATTAACTCTACTTTCTCTTTTATGTTGCAATGGAACTTTTGAGGCAGTTATTTTTGTTACTTTATAAATCAGAGGGATTGTTTATTTTAATTGAGTTTGCTTTTGTTATTTAGCACCAGATAATTTAGTGTTTAAATAGAAACAAAACTAAACTGGGTAATAAGAATTGCCTATTACTATGAAATTTTGAGCATTATGATCAGATTAAGATGAGTTTTAAATAAAACACTTAAATGCCTCTCATTTGTCAAGGAAAAGGTAAGTTTCAGTCTTTGATTATTAAGTTTGGGGAGGTTCTCTTTCTATTCCCACCCCAACCATAACTGGAATACCAGCAAACCTAATGTCACCCACATATTTAAAATTCAATGCATGACCTGCTTTGAAAAGAAAGTGTACTTGCCTCTTGCCTTTTTTTTAAAAAAGTGGACATAGTGAGTTACAATATAGGGTGGTGGATTTTTTTCACATCTATAGAAAAAATATATCAGCTTCATTTCTTAGTTTAGCAACCAACTCCAGCAGGAAAGTTTCTTTTCAGATGAAGTAATGTACAATAAGCACAGTGCTCCTGTAGAGGGACCAGACACTGCCAGTTCCCATTTCACATGCTACTGTGCCTATTTTTAGGGGACAGGGTTTTTTTAAAGTACTGCATAAGGAAAAAAATTGTTTATTTTCCCCCCACAAAATGTTGTTAGTTTCATAGTGGGAAGTATCAGGTGGCAAAAAACTTTTGAAGTTTTTTTCCCCGTGAATTCGGCTGGAGGAAGGCAATACTTGGTTTTACAAAGGCCCTGCTGTTTCAGAAAGCACTGCTGGCAAGTGGCAGCATATGAGCTACCTGGCAACCTGCTTTTATGTTACTTCCTTTTGAAAAGTGTGGATGTCCTACTTTCTGCAGTATGATAGCAGTCCTGTTAGAATTAGATCCAAGGGTTTGACTTGAATATTTCCCTGGTTTCTGAGGTTTGCAGCCATTTTTTCTTGAGGCCCTCCTGCCTTAGAAACCCAAGTACTGCATTTCCTCTTGCTGATAAGATGGTAACTGCTTGTGTCAGGGATGAAGTGTCACTCAACACTCAGGAAGCAAAGATAAAATTCATGAGGTACAAATTCAAATTATTTTAAAAAAAACCCCACATTGCTTAACTCATTATGTCCATTCTGTAGCAAAAGAAGGGTAAGCATTATGGGGAGATGCTAACAGTTCTTTAAACTTCAAGCTTGTGTCAGCCTGTATATGATAAAGTCTTTCTAAAAAAGAGTACATTTGTAGAGGTATTTTGCCTTTTTGATGTATTTTTCCTTAAAAAAAAAAAAAGAGTGACTTGGACCCCAGATTCTTTTAACACTTAAATGTGTACTTCGCATATGTGAATTAGTCCAGTATAAAGAAAACAGAGAACTGTAAGGTACTTAAAACATAGAAGCACATGTGTTACTAAGCCTGTGCTTAAGTGTTTATAGGATTTGGGACATCAAAGAAAACACCCCTACTGCTCTTCTCCTGTTTATAAAAATATAGCTGGTGAAGTTACTTGAACAAGCATCTGTCACTCATGGCTGAGCTCACTGAAGGAGAGCAGGAAAGAACATAACTGGAAAGCACGAGTCATCTATTTAAACAGTTTGCTGGTGTCCTGTAGCTCACATTCTGAGATTGTTCATGCTTGTTAAACAACTTGAAGCTGCTTGAAATAAATACTAATGACTACTTTTACATCTGTATTCTATTTTTGAAAGTTGGTGAGTAACTTGAAAATTTCCATTTGTATGAGTAAACTTCGTAAAACGTAGTTGTATGTGGCAGGAAAACTGATTCGTTTTGACAACAGCTTTCCTGTATGTCCCTCTACTAAATTTTTATTCACTTCCTGAATTTCAATTAATGTTTATATAGTCTTTTAAAAATAGCTTTCAAAAACCAATTTCAAATGTCTTTGGATTAATATTAAGTTGGTAGCTAAGGGAAAATCACTTCTATTTGCAGATAGTAGTTTTTATTTATGGCTCTGGTAGAAAACCTTACTGTAAGTCTAGAAAATGAGGTGTTCTGTAGGACTGAAAGGTTACTTAGGGGGCTTTTATTACCTCAGTGGGACCCACTTAACTTTTATGTCAGTTCTGGAACAGGTGAAGGGAAGAGTGAGCTATGTTTTTATTTTAAATATTTTCCCTATATATTGTTATTTTTGTAGATATTTTTTAAATAAATTATTATATGCTGGAGATTGCAATTCCACTATAATATCCCATGATTCCAGTGTACAATATCAGATTGTTTGTATTGCAAAGAATGTATTTGATAAGTTAACAGGAAAAGTTATTTTCAAACTGTGCTGTGTTTGTGTCTAGCAATTGGAAATACTTTTCCTATAGAAAATTAAAATTAAATGTATATGACCTCATATCTACATTTGGATTAATTGTCTAATAATTACCCAGGGCTGCTATAAACTTCCTAAATAATTTAAGAATTGCCTCTTTTTACTGTTTTAAAGCATTTTTTCTTGTCTTTTTTGGCAGAAAGTATTTTTCCCTTGCTATGGATACAGTATACTAGACTTGCATATGTGCTCTGTTTGGGTTTCAAACTGAAAAAAAAATGTATAAAATGTGTATAAAGAAAAGTGTAAATAAAATATTTTTAATCTTTAAACACTCTTGTGTAAACTGTGTAATACTCAAAAGTGTGGTGGATCTGGATCACTTTCTATAGGACTTTGGAGTTTACTGAGTTAAGCAGCTCTTCAAAACGTGTGTTGCAATGATTCTGTAATGTTGTGTCAAAGTTATCCCATCAAGGAAAACTGGATGTGGTTCTGTAGACAACACCAAGCTCTTTTCTTCAGCTGTATTTTACAGTCTTCCTAATTTTAATTGCTGTAGCACATGAGTCTGATTACTCTGCACTTCAAGCTTGAAATGTTGTTTGGAGTTGACTTTATTGTTACATTTGTAACCCAGTGCAATGGCATTTACCCTGGAAGACTGAACACTGAAGGCAGCCCTTGGTGTCATTCAGAAGCCAGGAGAGACTGTTCCCTGCTCTCAGGTACATGGAATTGAGGGCTCTGCGACAGCGTGTGTTCATTGCACACTTGGACCTGAAAGTGCCAGAAGTCCAAGTCATACTGCTTAATGTTTCCTGTAACAGGAAGGGGAAACTTCATTTCAGGATTAAAGTGTCAGATTAGAACAACATTCAATACCAGGGAGGGGGGAGTGGGGTGGGAGGGCAGGTAGAACAGGAGGCTGTAATCTTATTTTCTCAAGCAGTCCGCTGAAAGCCTTCCTTGTCAGTCCATTGCCACACTTCTCCTTTTCTCTGTCACTGTGTTTTGGCAAGTCTCTCTCAGATCAAAGCCCCTGGTTCAAAAATCTGCGGTCAAGAATGTTTGAAAATAACTGTGGTCTCCTTAATTTTTTTCAATATTGAATTCTAAAATAGCATTTTAATTTTATTTTAGTAATTCAAATTACTTTAAACTTTATTTGCATGAAGTAACCTCTGCCCCTCCCCCTTTTTGGTAACTTGGCTTCATCCTACACTGTGACTGTTTAATGGGAGAATGCTGTGGATGAATTTGTGCTGGTCCCAGTGGGAATTTGTCACGGGAGGAAGGGCCTATTTAATTGTGATATTGTCCCCATTTTGGGTTCAAAAGGGGACCAAATGCATTAGACTGACACAGTGGAAGAGAAGATGACAGCAATCTTTTCACACTGTATTATTTACACTTCTTTTTCTTCGCCTTTTTAATTCCCCTTCCCTGTGAACCAGGTTGTGTTTTTGGCAATACCTTTCTCCCAAGATGTTACACTGACTGATGTGACTTACTTGTTATCACCTCTGTAGTTAATAGGCATCTCCAACAAAGTTTCCATTGTTTCACTAAGGAGAGCGCTCGCATTTTAGCTGGTTCATACCAAATTCTTCACTTTTTTTTTAAAATATATGGCCTTATTTTTTAGCACTAGTTCAGTAATCTGTGTTCACTTGTTCTGTGTGATATGAAGTTAATGTTATTTTGGCAAAGAGTTTTTTCAGTGAATTCTTTCTAGATTCTTTGGTATAATTTATCCACCCTTGTTGACTTGAAATTCTTAATTTCAACAGGTGTTCCCCCTTTGTTATGTGTTGGGGTTTTGGGGTTCTAGGTGTGGAAGCGTGTCAGGGGGCTTTTTGGTTGGTTGGTTTTGTGGGTTTTGTTTGTTTGTTTTGGGGTTTTTTTGCCCTTTTATTTTATGACTCCATTGGCTTCTAACTGTGGAAAGGTGAAGCGTTGCTTTGGGTGTTGCACAGCCTCTGTATCAGTTCTGTACCTTTTGAGTTCCTAACATACTGGTGAACACATGATCCCCCACCCAGCCTTTACCCTGTCAAATCGTGCTGATGGTTGAGTGTCATCCTTTAGTTGAAGCGTCTTGTCCAAGGCAACTTTCTTAGCATGTGCAAAGACTTCATTCAAGGGAGGGGATCAGGAATATGTGTTAAGGCAGCTTTAATTTCTTGTTTTCACTAACACTTTCCACTTGATTCTGTAGTTACACTGGCAGGTGCTTTAGGTAATGTTTCCAGGTGAAAATAAACCTCATCATAATATCTGTTTAAGCACCCAGTGACTGGTCAGTCATCTATCCATTGGAATGAATGCCAGCATTAAACATCACATGCTGAGCACAAAGCATTCTAGATTGATGCTATGTGGTACCTAAGGAACTAAAATTAAAAAAAATACTCTTTTTGCCATGTATCTGATGTCTGTCAAATGTATCTCCTGGTGATGTCACCCTTGCTGGCAGTTCTCCTGTATGAAGGATAAATGTTGTTCAATAAGTGGTGCTGAATAAAATATTTGTTTCCTAATGAGATAGATGGCTTTAATGGTTAATCCTTTTATTGCACTATTTAATTTTACTAGACAGATATGTCTGTCTTTGGCTTAAACTGGCAGCCTTCTTTCCCACAACCATTTCAGTATGTCCTCAGGCACGTTCTAAACATTGGTTTGCTGGGAGTGTTTTTGTCATGTGGTTCAGCTCATAAGTTTGATTTACACCAACCATGTAATTATCTTTTCTGTGTGAGTGTCTTTGTTTCCTGTGGTGAATTGTGCATTCTGTGTATCTGTTTGTGTGTACTATTGATTAGATTTTCTGACTTTCCCATCCCTTCTTTGTCAAAAGAATTGCATAATGCCAACTGAAACTAACTCTTTCCTCCTTGTCTAAGTTCCACAGTCTCAGGGGAAAAATACTAGGGTGGTCAGTGTATTTCTTTCATGTTTACCTTCCCAGATTGCTGAAGTCATACAAAATGCATGGGATCGTGCTGACACTGGTGTCGATATAAGGCATGGCCTGAGTGCCTTCCCTTATGTTGGTATAGTGATGCCCTTCATTTTCACTCCTGGAAAGCAGGGAATTGCTGTGCTATCATCTTCCACCTCTCAGAAAGCCCTCTTGGCTAATCTATGCCCGGGAAAGAGTCCTTAGTTGGCTGGAGGATGTTCCTTAGGATTTGTGTCATGTCACACATGCTCTCCATTCTTCCTCTGGCTCTTACAGGCAGTTAGTTCTGCAAGGATTTTTTTATCTGACACAGGTGGCAACTTGATACCAAGAGCTTATTTTAACTTATGAAATCCAAAATATCATAGTACAGAAGAAGACATTTTAGAGGGCAAAACCTTTTTTTTTAATATGTATATTTCTTCTCCTCTTAATTTTGAGTTCATTTATTGCAATTAGGAAGTTACTGTCAACTAATAACTTTTCCTCCACTGTTTCTCCTGTCAGATTATCAAAAACACTGAAAAGAATTATGTAGTCAGAAAAAAAAAGTGATTAATACAATTAACTGAACTGTAGCTTTTAATTGAAGGACTTTTCATGGTCTTAAAGTTGGGAACTGGTCCAGTTAACAATCTTCTTGGAAGTGTTTTAGCTTATTTCTGAAAGAGCTGGATTTTGGCTCAGTACTGTTCTCTGAAAACAAGGGGACCGAGACTGACCTCTACATAAGTTAAATAAACTAAATGCCTCAGCCAAGGAAATATCGGTACAAAATTGTTAACACCCAGATAATCAACCAGCTGTACTCTGCAGAAGTTAGGAACCTTACAAGTGATCACAGTTTCTCAGTTTGGGTTTTGTCCTAGCTTTGTCGTGCAGAGATTTTTGTTTTTCCCATGGTAAAAATTAATTACAAGAATGTATGTTTTGCTAAACTTGTTAAACTGGTTGAGGGAAGCTGTGCTCTTGGGTCTGCTACCTTGTTCAAAGCAGGGCAGAACACATTAAAATGACTGGAAAGATTAGCAATTTTCCAGTGCCTTAACTTCTGATGATTTATGCATCTGCTGTGAATGGAAATCATCCAATATCCTCCAGAGATAATGTCTGGAACCAGGCATGCAATTTACCTGCTTCATATTCCCATTCTTCTGTAACAATGGATTGATCCCTCCAGCTTTTCAATTCATGAAATTGCCATCTCCTGATATTCAGTGAAGTTACTCCTATTTGTAACATCCAGTTTCTGGGCCCGTACAAAACCCTGCATTGTTACACACAGATGGGAATAAGAACCTGTTCCATCACACTTGAGAAATGTGACATATTTTTCATCTATACAACAGCCAAAGCAAGCTAAGGCATTGTTTTTAACCTCTGCCAGCACCACACTGTACTAATTGATGAGACCAAAGGGGTAGTTTCAAATGCTGTGCTAGATGGAAGTTGTTGAAAGTAAAGATGGTGTTGGTCTGTGCACCACTACCCTGTGCCCCTTAAGTGGCAATGATGCCAACCATAGACCTTCTCTAGAGGGAAGGGGGGCACAAACATAAAAGTCTTCTCTTTACAAGAAGTAGTAGGTGATAACACACTTTAAACATGTAAGACATCACTGGGGGAAACTATCTACATGACAGCTTTCATTAGTGATTGTTGAGAGACCCCTGAAATGTGTCCTAGAATTTCCTAAACGTACTTCAGGATTGAGCACATGTAGGGCTGGGTGTTGCTCCTTTGTGGAAAATGCTTCCAGAATGGAAGTAGTAGTTGAAGGTACCAGACAAGGGTGGGTTTTAATGAATATGAGGCAAAGGAATGGAAAGTTGCCAAACCAGCCTGAACAAATGCTGTGGTGCCAAAGAGCAAGGAACTGTAGGAGGACTTCCTGGCTAATGAGTGCTCTGCACAGAAACACAGGATTATGTCCCAAAAAGGATGTTTTGCTTCCAGTTTTGCCTCATAGCTCTCATTCTCTCTGAAACAAATATGCCTTCTTCATTTTTGTGATCTCCTGTTGAGCTTGAGAAGAGCAACATGTTGGCTGCATGGACACTGCATGGACCCACTGTAGTGAGTCAGTAAGAGTAAAATGAAGAGGTGACTAGTGAATTGTATGGAAAGGATAATCTAGAGAAACAAAAACATTTAAGGCTTTTCCCCTCAAAAAGGGTTTCACTCGAGATTGAACAAGTAAAGCCTGAAATGAAAAT